GGGGGGGGTTGGTTATTCAAGACAGTGTTTCTCTGTAGCCCTAACTGTCCTGGACTCACTTTGTAGACCAGGCTGGCCTCTAACTCACAGAGATCCACCTGCCTTTGCTTCCTAAGTGCTGAGATTAAAGGCATGTGTCATCATACCTGGCTTTGAGACACTTATTTGTACTGTTGATATCCAAGGTTCTCTTTTTTAAAGGCAGATTTACATTTACTATTCTAACATAGTTTATTTCTCCAATATGGGAGCTGGTCAGCCTATTTTGCAGAACTTGTCTCATAGGTACTCCCAAAAGAAAGTTCCAAATGCTGTTTCCCTTGATGTTCTGTGTTCTTAAGTAGCCATGTACAATCTTTTGTTGGTCAGTTAAACACTAGGCAACTTCCTTTTCATCCCCCTACACCTTCTTGCTCCAGGTCATAGGTCACCTAGTGAGTTTGAGGGCAGCCTGGAATATGTAAGATACTGTCTCTAAGAAAAGGGATGGATGTATGGAGGGAGGGATAGATAGATACATAGATAGACAGACAGACAGGATCTTCTCTTAATGCACAGCATACCCACAGTTCACTGGGAACACTTTGACCAGACTTTCTTAAGGCTTCATCTGTTTCGTTATCAACCCCTGAAGCCAGACTGGGAACCCAGAACTGAGGAACCCTCCAGGGAGCTCAGTGTCAGGCTCCAGTGCTGTTACAGATACGTCTGATTAGGGGCCATCCTTAGACTGCGGTTCTCAATAGACAAGAAAGCTGTCTCCACTCTACAATCTGAGGGTACTTTCGCAGATACACCCTTTAGGTCCAGTGTTTCAAGCTGTTGGGTTCCCGCCTGTCTTGGTCACTGTTCTATTGCTGTGAAGAAACACTGAGGAAGCTCTCAGAAAGGAAAGCATTTACCTGAGGCTTGCCGACAGCATCAGAAGGTTTGTCTTGATCAAATTGGGAACGGACAAGCATGGTATATAGCTGAGAGCTTTACATCCTGATCCTCAGGCAACAGGAAGAAAGTGGGAGAGACGATGGGCCTGGCTTGAGCTTCTGAAACAACTCCAGAGCCCACCCCAAGTGACACACTTCTTCCAACAAGGCCACACTTCCTTCAACAAGGCCACAATTTCCAGTCCTTCCCAAACAGTTCCACTAACTGGGGGTCAAGCATTTAAATATGTTTGCCTAACGGGGGCCTTTCTCACTCAAAGTACCGCATCTGCCCTCAGAGCATGATGTTAAAGAAGAAGTTATGGTTTCAAATAGCATCTTCTCCTGAAATTTTTATTTTTAGATTTTCATTTTCTTCTGTGCACAGCTCTTATAATTCTGTGGAACCAGGAACCTAGAAAGCACAGGTCACTTTTCATTTGTTTGAATCCTATACTGATATTACACAGAAAAGGTGTGTGTGTGTGTGTGTGTGTGTGTGTGTGTGTGTTGTGCTCTTCTTTGTTTACAGACATCACGAAAGGCCGCTGATCCGAAACTTGCATTTTTATTCTGAAAGTGGATAAGGTAGAAAAGAGTGACACATGGCCTATGTCCAGCACGGGAAATCAGAAACCTGCATCCCACAACGGCGGGTCAGCGGTGCCATTTTTAGAAGCAACCGTGCAGCTGGACCCATGGGTTTAGTGTAAACATGCAGCTTGCATTTGCACAGTCGTAACTTTACAGCTGGATCTGTGTGTGTCGGACACATTTGACCTTGAGATCAGGGAAAGTGCTACCCAAACTGCCCATCAGCTCAGGGATTTAGTCCTGGGTGGTGCAGCATCCTCGGCCACAGTGTCCTTGTTCCTGAGGCTCAACCTGCCAAATGGTTCATCTGTCACAGAAGCAGCTAGGCCTTTCTATTCTTACTTTAGTACTCCTCTTCAGTTCATACAATTTATTACACGGTTGGTACATGGATCAGACATGTCCATTTATTTCATATCTTTTGATTTTATCAACCTCATTATAAAAAAAGCTTGCGAATAGACTAATCACCACACAGCAAAGTGAACCAGACCCAAACTGTACATACATGTCAGTGCGTTCTCTACAGTTCAAACAGCCCTTCGGAAGCTGGACTTTACACTTCCTGTCGGGCAGATTTTTATGTGCTTCTCCTCCACAAGCCTGACAAACCCACAGCTAGGCAGAAGGAGGGAGGGCTGTGCTGGTTGGTTTTTCTCAACTTGACACAAACCCAGACATGCCTGGGAGGAGAGAATCTTAATTGAGTAAATGCCTCCATCAGATTGGCTGACAGGCAAGTCTGTGTGGCACTGTCTTGATGAGTGATGGCTGGGAGTGGGCCCACAGCGGTGCCACCCCGGGGCAGGTGGTCTTGGTCATAGTCTTCATCCTTCACAGTGATAGAAACCTCATCTAAGGGAGCAGAAGGATGGCTCAGTGGTTAAGAGTATTGTATGTCCTTCCAGAAGACTTGGGTTCAATGCCAGGCATCCACATGGTGGCCCACAGGCATGTGTGCAAGCAAAACATCCAAACACATAAAGTAAAATGTGTGTGTGTGTGTGTATGTGTGTGTGTGTAGCCAGCCTGGTCTATAAAGAGAGTCCAGGATAGCCAAGGCTACACAGAGAAACTCTGTTGGGACATTGGCATGGTGCCATAGCATGCGTACACAGACCTTTACACAACAACAATGTGTATTTTACATAGAAATTCAACATCCCCTTCTTTTTTGACAGGAATATAAAATTTCAAGCTTTGAGCAGAGGCTGATGAACGAGATAGAGTTCCGCCTGGAGCGCACTCCTGTTGACGAATCGGATGAGGAGATACAGCACGATGAAATCCCCACGGGCAAGTGCATTGCACCCATCTTTGACAAAAGACTCAAGCACTTCCGGGTGACCGAAGGCTCCCCAGTCACCTTCACCTGCAAAATTGTCGGGATTCCTGTTCCAAAGGTAGGGAGGCTAGCCTGGCAGCCGGTGAGCAGCAGCTCAGAACTGTATGCAGCACCTTCAAGAAAGCGCCATGGGGCCGGGATGTAACTCAGCGGCAGAGTTCTTGTGCATGGACAAGGCTCCAGCATGTGTCCCCCACACCAAGAACAAAAAAGATCGCAGAGGCCTAGAGAGATGGCTTCGCCCCCAAGAGCACTGGCTACTTTTACAAAATGGGAGTTCAGTTCCCAACACCTGCTTTGGGTGTCTGGCAGCCGCCTGTAACTCCAGCTCCAGGGCATCTGATGCCCTCTGCTGGCCTCTTACTGCATCCTCACCCATGAGAGGTGTGTTAAAAAGACAAGTCTCAGACTTAGGGTGTAGCTCACTATGTAGTAAGTATGAAGCCCTGGGTTCAAACCCCCAGACCATAAAAACAAAAACCTGGACAGGATGATACATGCCTGTAATCCCAAGGAGAATCAGAAGCTTAAGATCACCCTTGGCTGTGCTGTGTGTTTGAGACCAGACTATGATACATGATACCCTATCTTAGGGGATAAAACAACTGAAACCAAACCAAAACAAATAACCCAACCTGTCATACTGTAGTGAAACATCTTCAGAATAAAAATGAAAAGTGAAAAACAACTCTCAAAAACCAGCAAAGCCTAGATGATTTAGCTAAAAAGCACCAGGAACAGGATTAGGCCAAAAAGAGGGATTTTTGTTTGTTTTTTAGACAGTCTCATTATATAGTCTTGACTGGCTTGGGGTTCACTGTGTAGACCAAGCTGGCTTCAGTGTCACAGAAATCCACCTGCTCTGCCTCTGGAGGGCTGGGGTTAAAGGCACATCAAACTTTCTCTGAATTTTAATAAGAGTTTAAAAACAAATTTCTTAATCATGAATGCCTTATTTGGGATTCTTGGCTCTCTTAGCCATTGAACTCATCCAATTAGCATTTTCCATGGTGTTTAGTTTCTATTGAATACTCACGAGGTGCCTTTTGTTGTACAAAGAGAGCTATATCAGTGTCCTTACTGTTGGGTTAGTAAATGCCAAGAATGTCCCTCGCTTGTCCCTGTCTCTGAGTCACCACATTCCCTGGCAGTCAGGGAAGGATTTGCACCCAGTGTGGCTGTGGCAGGGGACCCGCTTTCACAAACCTGAGTGTGCTGGTGTCACACACGATTAGGTAACCAAGGAGAACCAGCCCCTTGAGTTGCTCAGCCGCTCACGGGCAGGCCTGACCTCAGAGCCTGATGGCAGATCTGTATCAGTCTGCGAGTTTGGATTCCGGCCGGTGGGGACCTCCAGCCGCCTGATCCTAGCCTTACTCTTCTTCGTCCACTAAACGGTGCTAGCCTTTCAAGTGAGGCGAGCCAGCCCCGCTGCTCAGACCTGCATCTGCTTTATGGCTGGGGCTTACAGAGGACAATGGGGGGGGGGGGGGTGATCCAGGCTCCTTGTGTTCATTCTTTTGCCTGTGAAGACATATTCGATCCTTAGCGTTTCCTTAAGCTAATTATGAGCTACAATAAAGACAGTCAAAAACTTCGCCATGAAGCTAAACCATAACATATCTTTTACTCGAGCACCGTGTAGGCACAGGGGGAGGGTAGACGGTTTACGATTTTTCCTAAGTGTTTGCAGAAGTTCAACTTCTGTCTAATGGTTCTGACTCTCTTTCCCCTCTGGCGATACTCAGGGCTGTATGTCTTCACCAACAGTTGGTTCCCTGCTTATCTTTCACTCCAGGTTTACTGGTTCAAAGACGGGAAGCAGATTTCTAAGAGAAACGAGCACTGCAGAATGAGGCGAGAGGGTGACGGGACGTGCTCTCTGCACATCGACTCCACCGCCAGTGATGACGACGGCAACTACACCATCATGGCGGCCAACCCCCAGGTTGGTTGCCGCAGGCTCCTGGACACCAGAAAGCATGACCAATGTCACCGTGCCGAGGAGAATGAATGAGAAGCATTGGGATTGCACCTAACGAGAACACGGACTCCAGCGTAGACTAGCCTTCTACTTGCTGCTCCTGTCAGAAGACGTTGGTGGGGCTGAGGGGTACAGCTTAGTTCTTAGAGTGCTCGCCTGAGCATGCTTGAGGCCCTGTCTTTGATCCTCAATGTCATGTAAAAACAAGCAAGCACAGTGGCCACTCAGGAAGCAACAGCAAGGAGGGCTAGTTCATGGTCACAATGTATTGAGGAGTTTGAAGGCAGAAAACAAATCAAAACAAAAATGAGGGGCTGGAGAAATGGCTCAGGAGTTAAGAGCACTCGCTGCTCTTCCGGAAGACCGGCCTCACCCACATCAGGTGGCTCACAACTCCCTGTAACTCCAGCTCCGTGGGCTCCGAGGCCCTCTTCTGGCCTTTGAAGCGCACACAGCTCGCAAACACAGACACATACACATAAATACAAATTAAATAAACAAATGAGGGCTACAGCAGTGGATCAGTGGTCAGGAGGGCTTGATGCTCTTGCAGAGTTCCGGGGATCAATTTCCAGCACCCACAGGGCAGTTGACAACCTTCCGTACCTTTGGTTCCTCTTCCGATTCCCAGGGGAGCCAGACATGTGGCACACAAACACATATTCCAGTGAAATACTCAAACACAACTCTAAAAGAGCTTAGATAAACCTAAAGAATAAGTTACTTCAAAAAGGCTTTACGTATTTCCCAAACTCCTATCAGATTTTTCTTTTTTTTTTTTTTTTTTCCTTTTTGGATAAAATTTGGAGAGCTTTAATCTTCTGCTTTTCTTTTCTTTTCTGAATGAGGCCAAGTTTTAAAATTCTCCTAAAAGATAGGAGAGCATATTTTCAATTGCCATTCAAGTAGAAAATACACAGCCACAATTTCTATTCTCATGCACTTCCCCCCTAAAATGTCAGTGTTGATGAATCTCTGTTCAGGAAAGCATAAAAATATCTGGCCATGCACTTTGCATTGTTGCTGCAAATGATATTAAATTTAGGAAAAATGGCATTTTAAAAATATTTTTTTTCATTTCTTGGGTTAAAGTGCAAATTATTGTAATACTCCTAAAATTCTCTCATCCTGAAGTATCAACAGTGACTTGAGAAGCCATTTTGGGCCTGAAAAGACGGGTCGGTGAGTAAAGACATTGGTCACATGAGCCCAGTGGCATGAGTCTGATCCCAGGAGCCATGTAAAAGTAGAAGAGAATGGCTCCAAAGAGCTGGCCTCTGACCTTTGCCGAGAACATTGCATGGCATGTGACCTGGTAATAATAACTTTTATAAGAAGTCACATCTATGTATATTTTAAAGATTGTGTGTGGAGATCAGAAGAGGGTGTCACATCCCATTGAACTGGAATTTTGTGGTTTTATGGATGCTGGGAACAGTTCCGGCCATCTGAAGAGCAACAAGCGCTCTGAATCTCTGAGCCATTCCTCGAACCCCCAGAGGCCATATTTTCAAAGCTCTGGCTGTACAAGGGTGAGGATCGGAGCTGGTAGGAAGGCTGGGTGGGTGTAGAGGACCAGCTGGGGTTCCAGCCCAGGAAGGCAGAGGTAGGAGAAACTGCAATGCAAGCTGCCAGCCCTACCAGTCATATCTGCAAGCTCCAGGTTCAACTGAGAGATCCTGCCTCAGCGACCAAGGCAGAGAGCCATGTAGAAAGACACCCAACCCCAGGGCTCAGCACACACATTAAAAGTTGCATTGTGTTTATTGAGTAGTGGTAGCTAATACCTTTAATCTTAGCACTCAGGAGGCAGGAGCAGGCAGATCTTTGGGTTTTAGGCCAGCCTGGTCTACAGAGCAAGTTCTAGGACAGCAGGGGCCACCCAGAGAAACCCTGTGTCGAAATTCAAAATGAAACAAATATTGCATTGTTTTCATTAGTTTTAAACACAGAAAATCTCTTCTTTTTTAGAAAAAAAAATGTATATTCTTTGGTGAAGAATACATTAATATAAGTTGAAAAAATATGGATTTCTCCTTATTTTAATCTTTCTGCTTTCTGCTTCTCAGGGGAGGATCAGCTGTTCTGGCCACTTGATGGTTCAGAGTTTGCCCCTTCGAAATCGACTCAGCCCCGCCGGTCAGTCTCACAGGTAAAGACAGGAGAGCCCTCTCTCTTCTGGAGCCCTTTCATGTCTCCACGCTCCACAGTGAACAACGTCTACAAATCACTGCTAAAATGGACCACATTGCAGTCCCACCACCAGGGGGTGCCTTGAAAACCAGCCTCCAAGCCAGATCCAGAGCGTCCAAGTCAGAAACCGCCCTTTAACAAAGCCCCCAGGAGACGCGCAGGCACAGATATGTTTGAGAAGCTCCGGGCTTGGGCACCTTTTTTCTTTTTTGGACAGGCTCCCGTGTAGCCCAGGTTAGCCTCAAACTCCCTATATAGCAGAGGATGACCTTAAACTGATACTTAGGGGTTGGGATCATAGGCACGCACCACCACACAGTTTCTGTGGTGCTAGGGAAAGAACCCTGAGCCTCATGCATGCTAAGCACGCGCTAGATCAACTGAGCTACAGCCTCAGCCCCTCTGGCACAACTGTAATAGTTCAAAACAAATTGTAAGCATCAGTAACGTCTGTGCACATAATGTGTGCTGAAACCCAGTGAAAGGACTGACTTTCTATCACCAGACAGAAACTCTGAGGACTGAATATCTCCACGTACTTTCCACTATAAGCAGTTTTCTGCTCGGATTTTACAGACCAGTGATGAGAAAGAGCCTGGCTTCCTCCTTGAGGCTCAGGGTGCCACAAAGCCTTAGCAAAGCTTCCCATAGCCACTGAGCCTGGTGAATTAGATGTCTTACCAAAGGAACAAAAATAGAGACCCGTGTTTCATGCACAGCGTTTCACACCAGGGTGGAGAGGCATCTCCACCCCCTCCTTATCTCTTTTGCTCTGCTTTGTTTTCAAGAACAGCTGTTCCTGTTAGTCATTCTTACTGAGTCCAGGTTCGTTTTCATCTTTAATTATCAGCCATAATTTATCCCCAGGCTGAATTTTATTGCAGTCACGGCCATCCTTTTCTGGGCGATGAGCAAGCCTTCCCTGTGGACAGTCAGACTGACTTATTTATTTTGATGACTTTTCAACAAGTGTCAAAGCCCACAGAGAGGGGAGCTAAGCCGGTTAACACTGGATAACTTCAGAGAGACCGAAGCTAAGGCTTGCTTATTTGATTTGTATTCTTTTTAATTACTCGTATGGCCGGGCATGTGCACACGGGTGGACCTCTGAAGCTGAACTTAAAGGTGGCTGTGAGCCGGCGCAGGTGCTGGGAACTGAACTTGGGTCCTCTGGAAGCACCCGGCCTGGGCCTGTTTACATGATTTCAGAGTTGAGAAATGATACTGCAATGTATGGGATACTTGCCATAGAAGCTTTGGAGAGAGAGAGAGAGAGAGAGAGAGAGTGCGCGCACGCATTTCTATCAGTTCTAGGCTATGATTGATTGATTGCCCAGTAACTTCCGTATACTCTTTAGTGGGTTTCATTCGGTAGAGTGCTTACCTCACGAGTACCGAGTCCTACGTTTCGTCCCCAGTACCACATAAACTGGCCATAAGGATGCATGCCTGTAATGCCAGCAGACAGAGACGGGATTCCTTCAAGGTCGTCCCTGACTACTTACTGGGCTCGAGGCTAGCTTCAGCTATAGGATACTGCCTCGTTCTAGCCGTATAGCCATGTCTAAACCCACTCGGTTATTGTCACACGTTTGTAATTGCTTCTTGCAGGGGAAGGTCCAGAATGCAGGAAAGAGACAAAGAGCCTCTACAGGAACGCTTTTTCCGACCACATTTCCTGCAGGCCCCCGGGGATATGGTGGCTCATGAGGGCCGCCTCTGTCGGCTGGACTGTAAGGTACTTCCAAACACCCATCCTTAGTTCCAGGTCTGTCCAGAATTTGCATCTAGCTATTTGTTTACACTCGTTTTTGTTTGTTTTGTGGGGTTTTTTCTCCCAGATGAAGGGGTCTTAGGGAAGGGAGGAAAACTATCCTTTCAATAGGCTCTTTTTGAGTATTTAATCTTTTTAATACCATACACAAATATTTCATTAAAATCTAAAATCACCATATCTTAATAAAAAATTATGTAAGCATAAAAATTGTAAAGCAGGCTGGCATGGTGGTGCGCACTTTTAATCCCAGCACTGGGGAGGCAGAGGCAGGTGGATCTCTGTGAGTTCAAGACCAGCCTGGTTTACAAAATGAGCCCAGAACTGCCAGGATGACACAGAGAACCCTGCTTTAAAAAAAAAAAAAAAAGCTTTTCTTTTTAAAAAGCAAAAACAGTGTTATGTTGGCATTATATAAGACCATTCTTCATTTTGAGAAGATAGCCAGAGAGGGATAATGTGTGGTCTTTTCCATATGCTCCCCGGAATCCTTAATGAAGCCAGAAGCTTGAATTTTGTGTGTTTGGTTGTAGGGAGGGAGAGAGACTTGGAAAGATCATAGGTGTGAGAAGATAGAGCCTAAGCCCTTTGTGCGGACAGAGGACGTTTTCTTGCTCTAAGCCGCCTCTGTCACCTTTTCTGATTCTGTATTCTGGTTTCCCAACCCAAACGAGGCTTCATTTCACGGGCAGGGCCGCGGTCACCACTTCTGCTCCAGGCCACCGCGCCGGGGTGTGGTGATGGGAAGCGTAGGTGCAGGTCAGTGAGGGCTGGAGGGAGAGCTCCTTTCTCTGCCTGGCTCTTAGCCCGCCAGCGGCTGCCTAAGTAACGTCCAGGTTGTATCCTCTCCTGTCTCTCCTGTCTGGCTCCCAGCCCCAGAGATTCTGGCTCCCATCCCCAGAGATTTAGGCATCAAGATTATTTTTAGATAGTCCGTGAGAAAATTTTGAGAATCTTTGATTTAATATCTGGATTTTCCCTGACTCTGGTATCTAAGCTGAAGTCATCTCTCGTACTGATGCCACAAGCCTATTTTTTTTTTTTTCCATTTGTTATCTTCTATCATTATTTCCAGTCTAGGATATAATCACATGGATTAATCATGGCTGAAAGGGGCCCAAGATTCCACACAGTTCAAACCCACAGCACCACTCACTCAGCCCCGCCCTTCCAAGGCCGCAGCGCCCCCACCCCTCTGTTTTCCTTTGCTGTGTGTTTGGTGCCAGTGAGGATAAAGAACTCAGTCACGCAGTGGCTCCGCCTGTCCTCAGTGTGTCTTCGGCATCAGCTGTTCTGTCCTTTGGTAGGTGAGTGGCCTACCGCCGCCAGAGCTGACGTGGCTGCTCAACGGGCAGCCTGTGCTACCAGACGCCTCCCACAAGATGCTGGTCCGAGAGACGGGAGTCCACTCTCTGCTCATCGACCCGCTCACGCAACGCGACGCAGGGACCTACACGTGCGTGGCGACCAACAAAACTGGGCAGAATTCCTTTAGTCTGGAGCTCACTGTGGTAGGTAAGGTTTGCTGTGGGCTCCTGAGCGGAACCGCCTCCCCGTCCAAGGGTTTATCAGCTCACTGGTAGAGTGCCCGAGAGCCCACAGCTCATCCCAGGTGTGGGTGGCACACACGTGCTCTGGGAAGGTGGAATTGAGACCAGCCCGGTCACCTGAGGTCTCCTCTCAGATATAAACCAGGAATGGATAAGCTGTAAAAGCCTGAGTGCAGTGTCACCGCCAGGGCCCAGTGGGTTTGCCGGGCAGCCCTTCGAAACCCCCTGTTCCAATGGCACGAGCACAGAGTCACAGAGCATGTATGGGCTACGGTGTGATTGTTGGCTGCTTTGCCTCCCTGGGGGTTCTGAGCCTTTGAGGCCAGAGGCTCTGGTTTGCTGTGTTGTTATGGAGAAGGGAATTTGCCATGGCCTGTGTGTGGTCTCAGAGTATAGCTCTCAGGAGTAGGCTGGCTCGTTCCACCACGTGGGCCTGGGGAATCAAACTCAGGTCTTCAGGCTTAACGGTAAGCACCTTTACGAATTTCCCAAGACCCTGGTTTTATGTATTTCTCTGATATTTGCCTCAGTAGAAGGTGATCATCAAATGCTGAATCAACAAACAAGTGAGTTTTACGTCATCAGATAATGTAAATAAAATACAGCACGCCTACAGAAAAGGGATTTAAGACATCATCAGCTCCAGGACATTGGTCCAATCAGAATTTAATTTCAGGACATAGGAATTATAGTGCCAGGCTTCCTCCCACTGTGAATGGCTCATTAAAAAAAAAAAAAAAAACGAACTAGTTAGTAGTAGCTCATGCCTTTAGTTCTAGCACTGGGGAGGCAGAGGCAGGTGAATCTCTGGGTTCAAGTCCAGCATGGTCTACATAGTGAGTCCCAGGACAGCCAAAACAGAAATTTAAGTTGGGAAAATTTAGCTCCTATGAAATAAATTCCTCAAAAAGAAAATCAGTTGTAGTACGTGAAATATATTCTCAAAACTATTGAGATAGCTCAGTGGGTAAAGGTGTCTGCCACCAACGTGCCCACCTGAATTCAATCCTTGAGTTTCACATGATGGAATAGGAGAACTGACTCCTAAAAAAAAAAAAAAAAAAAAAAAAAAAAAAAAAAAAAAAAAAAAAAAACTGCATACACAGTGAGAGAGAGAGAGAAATAAAATTTTGACAAAACTGTTTTGAAGTCACTATTTTGGACTGAGTATGGTGGTGCATGCCTTTAATCCCAGCATTTGGGAGGCAGAAGCAGAGTTCAAAGCCAGCCTGGTCTACAAAGCAAGTTCCAGCACAGCCAAGGCTACACAGTAGGACCCTGTCTCAAAAATTAAAGCAAGAGAAAAAGAATGTAATGAGTTTGAGGCATAAACCTCAAGGCACTTGCTACCAATCCAATAGAAAAGTCTTTTCTCTTGTTCAGCCAAAGAGGTGAAGAAGGCACCAGTGATCCTGGAGAAGCTCCAAAACAGTGGCGTTCCCGAGGGCCACCCGGTGAGACTGGAGTGCCGGGTCATAGGCATGCCCCCGCCCGTGTTCTACTGGAAGAAAGACAACGAGACCATCCCTTTCACTAGAGAGAGGATCAGGTACGGTGTCAGCACCTCCACTGAGCCCTCCATGCTCAGAAGGGCCTGTGGGATCCAAGTAAGCCTTCAGCCTTCCGTAGCTGGCTTCTTTGGTATACTGTTTTTATATTTAGAATAGTGCTCCTGAGTTTCAGGCATGCTGTATATGTTCTGGGCCAGCCTGAACTACACAGTGGAACTCAGTCTCAAAAGGGGGCGAGTGTGTGGGTGGGATGGAGTAGGGAGGGAATTCTTCCCTTTAGCTCCTCCCACTCTCAGAAGTTTGTTTTTTTTTTTTTTCTTTTCTTTTCACTGTGCCTTTATAAAAGCATGTTCCCTGGCGGGAGGAAGACTGACTGAAAGTGTGCAGGGTGTGGAGTGTACCTGCACTCAGGAGGGGCGCAGAGGAAGGGGCAGGAGGTCACAGTTACCAACTTGGCTACACAGCGAGTCGGAGGCCATCCTGGGCTACATGAGACCCTGCCTCCAAAATGAAAATAAGGTTTTAAAAACATACAAGGAGGGGCTAGAAAGATGGCTCCCCAGTTAAGAGGACTCAAGTCCAGTTCCCAGCATCCACACTGGGTGACTCGCAGCTGCCTGTAACTCCAGTTCTGGGGGACCCAACACCCACTTTTGGCTTCCGCAGGCTCCTGCATCTTCATGGAGAACATGAACATGCAAAGGCACATACACGATCACATCAACAAAAATAATAAAACCTTTAAGATTAGGAACACATAAGATCTTGAATATTTTTGTCATATTCTTTATCTGAAAAAGTTTTTTGTGTTTGTTTGTCTGTTTTAGCAAGTAAGAAGCTGTGTTAGGGGGCTGGCTATGCTGGGTATGATGGCATAGCCCAGCATTTGGGAGGCAGAGGCAGGAGGAGCAAGAGTTCAAGTTCTCAGCTTCATAGTGAGCTCAGGGTCTCTCAGAGTTACATAGAGAGATGGCTCAGCAGCTAAGAGTGCTTGCTGAGGCCCCAGGGGCTCCGGGGTTGGTTCTCAGCACCCACATGGCTCACACCCATCTGCAGCTCACTTCCAGAGAGTCTGATGCCCTCTTCCAGGTGTCAGTAAACATGTGTGCGTACATACATACTCAAATAAATAAATCTTTAGGGCCGGGAGAAGAGGGCTGGGTGTGGCAGCAAGAGGCCTCAGGAGGATCTCCATGCCGCAGCTAGAGTGGTCTACCCAGCAAGTTCCAGACCAGCCAGGAGACTCTGCCTCAAAGAGAGGGAGGGGGATGGGAAAGGGAGGGAGCAGAAGAAAGCTGAGAGGGTTAAGAAGCTCAGTTTCCCCTGTCCCTCCTGGAAGAGTTTCTCCAAGCCTAAGATTGACGGAGACACTTCTGCTCCGGAGTTAAAGTGGAGTATACACTTTCTCTTTCCCAGCATGCACCAGGACACGACAGGCTACGTCTGCCTCCTCATCCAGCCAGCCAAGAAATCTGACGCCGGGTGGTATACACTGTCAGCCAAGAACGAAGCTGGCATCGTGTCCTGCACAGCTCGGTTGGATATATATGGTAAGTATGATGTCATCCAAGGAACATCTGTGCGTGAACAGCAGTCTTAAAGATTACTGTAGACTGTTCCATGCAGAAATTAGACAGTCCACATTATATTTTAGTGCTGGAAGGTGGGCTCTCCCCACCGTTTGTTTTTTGGTTTTTTTTGAGAATCAAGTGGTCAGACTTGGCATCAAGTGCCTTTACTAACTCAGCCACCTTCCTGCGCCTCCTTTTTCTAGGAATTCCGACCAAAACTCCATTTACAAGAAAAGGACACATATTAAATGTCTTGTTCAACCTGAGTGGCTCACAAATCTACCTTATCAGATTAGAATTCTGCTGAAGCCATCTCCGGAGCCATTCTATAATCTCACTTAACAAGAAGGGGGAAAAGATGGGTAGAAATTTTTTTAAAAAGATTTACTTTTATTTATGTATATCTGTGGGAGTATGTGGCAAGTGAGTGCAGGTACCTGTGGAGGCCAGAGGAGGGAGTCAGGATGTTGAAAGAATGAGTAATATGCCACAGCAACATATTTGGTATAAAGGAAGTTTATTGTGGGAAAGGGGGAGAGAGAGGCGGGCACCCAAGACAGAGAGAGAAAGAAAGAGGCTGAGAGAGTCAGAGAGAGACAAGAGAGAGAATAAGAGAAAGACCGTCAGGGAGGCTGTCAGGGTCCTCATATCAGGCACACATCTGGTGTGCCTGTGGTGGTGGTAGGTGATGATGTCAGAGGTGGCTAGGGCCTAACAGGCAGGCTAGTGGGACCGCCTGCCTGTACGCTGACAGATCGCTTAAACGGAAAGTTACAGACTTCCAGCTGGGAAGGGGGAAAGTCAATAGGAAGTTGTTAATTGTGCTAATTTTGTTGTTTGTTTGTCCAGAGGGGAGGTCTCACTATGCAACCTAGCTGGCCTGGAATTCTTTAGGTAGACCAGGCCTACCTAAAGATCTACCCGTCTCTGCTCTGGGTGCTGGGATTAAAGATGTGCTCTACCATGCCTGGCTTTATGCTGGAATTTTTGCTTCCCAGCTGGTGAGAGGCTTAATTCAAGGATGAGGGCTCCTTTCTCTTGTAAAGTCTCCATAATTTCTCCTGTCTCTCTGTACTTTCTCAGTTTTAGACAGAGTCCCACGAAGCCCAGACTGACCTCTAAATTACTATGTAGCCAAGGCTGGATTTGAACTCCTGAACTTCCCATATCACCAACCCGGAAGCAGGAAGGTTTTAATGCTCTTTTTACAAATGGGCTCTCTCAGACTCCAATATGCTTAAATGATTAACCAAGAATCCACAAGGAGTATTGACACAAGGGTAAAATGTGTTCAGAATGTTTCTCCCATTGATTTCTTTATCGTAGCATTTTAAAGATTTATTTATTATTTATTTATACAGTATTCTGTCTGCAGGCCAGGAGAGGGCACCAGACCTCATTATAGATGTTTGTGAGCCACCATGGGGTTGCTGGGAATTGAACTCGGGACCTCTGGAAGAACAGCCAGTGCTCTTAACCTCCGAGCCATCTCTCCAGCCTTGATGATAACATTTTATTTGATCCATTTCCAGCTCAGTGGCACCAGCAGATCCCACCTCCCATGTCCGTCCGGCCCAGTGGCAGCCGCTACGGATCTCTCACCAGCAAAGGACTCGACATCTTCTCTGCCTTCTCCTCCGTGGAGAGCACGATGGTGTACTCCTGCACTTCCCGGAGTGTGGTGGAGAGCGACGAACTCTAAAGCTGTCTGGGAGCCTGCTGTGTAAGGGGGTGGACTGAGGAGGGCGAGGAAGACCGAGCGTATGAGGTGGTTTCCGAACAGCTGGATCTGAGTGAGTTCCCGTGCTGCTGGACCCGTGGCGAGAGGTGTTTTAAGTTAGGTTGGCTGGGGCTCTTTTTGAGCCTTGGCTGAGGGAAAGAGATAGGGCTGTGCATCTTAAAGATGTGCATAGACAATATACACAAACCAAAGATACCATGCCATTGCCACCATGGCTGGGGCAAAAGGCAGGGGCAAGCATGCTCTCCCACCCATGCACTAGGGATATTAGGCCCAACTAGAAGCAATTAGGAGCCATAGTCAGGCCTGAGCACAACTAGCAACCTTTCATGGGCTACAGCCACATCAGTCATCCTGGTAAACTCATTACACGAGCTCCCATTTAACAGTAGAGGATCTTGCCAAACACCCTTCCCTCAAAGAGACAAAACACTTACGCTGCAAATCCTGCCTACGGAATCACATAAGAAGAAGGCAAAGCGTGTCTGAGATGTAAAAAGAAAACAATCAAAACAAAACAAAAGCCCATTAGGACACTCAAGATCTCACAGTGCACCTGTTACCTGGTCAAGACAAGGTTCCCAGCAGCCTATCAGTGTCATTTTAGGCAGAAAGTCACATCCGTCCCTAGTGCCTAGATGGGGACTGAGCACAACTGAGACCTTCAGAGCATGTCCGCTCTGGAACGGCTCTAACACTGACCTCAGGTTTCCGTCATTCTTCAGCTGCTCCAAACACGGCCCTGGGAACGGGTGTCACAGCAGTTTGCTTCAGGCAAGCCCGGAGTATTGAACTGGAGGGGTCTGCTGTTAATCCCCTCAACTCTCGATGGTCTCCATGCCAGGCCCCCTCAGCTGGCATCCTACCCAAGTGATTTTAGCTGAAGATAGTACTTGCTTAGAAAGGCTTGAAACTTCCTTTGCTTCAAGGCAAGGATTTCCAGTATAAAAATAAATTCATTTGCTCAAAAAAAAAAAAAAAAACCAAACAAATCTGTGTGTCTACTCTGTGTAAGATGCTGTGCTAGGTACCATGGGAGACACAAAACTATTGAGTAAGAGGGCAGGGGAGTTGGTTCCGCAGATAAAGGTTCTTGCTGTCAAGCACAAGAGCCTGAGTTCAATTCCTGGAGCCCAGTGAAAAAGAGGACTGACTCCTGCAAGTTTCCCTCTAGCCTCCACACACACCCCCAGATAAGTAAATGTGAACACACACACAATACATGCATGCTCTGCCCTCCAGATTTTACGATGTAACAAACAGGGAGATAATATTCAAGGCATCTGCAATACTGCTTCTTGAGTCAAAGATCTGGTCTTGGGGAAATGGAAGTTCACAGTTCTTCATCCTGTTTTTTAATAATCTTGCCAAGCCAGGCATTGGGATATGTGCCCATCACTGGAGCATTTGAGAAGCTGAGACAAGAGGATCAAGAGGGCAAATCAGCCTCTGCTCTACAGGGAGTTTAAAACCAGCCTGGGTTACATGAGGCCAGCCAGGTACAGTGGTACATAGGACGCAGGAAGCAGAGGCAGGCGGGTCTCTGTGAGTTCCAGGCCAGCCTGGTCTACACAGTGAATCCTGGGTCAGCCAGGACTACACAAGAGAGACCCTGTTTTAAAAAAAGAAACAAGCAAAAAATAAAAAACAGACTGGGTAGACGGCTCAGTTGGTGACACACTTGCCCTGTCAGCATGAGGATGTGAGTTTCGTCCTCCAGAATGCACAAATAAAAGCAGACTGTCAGTGAAGCCATATAATCCCAGCTCCAGGAAGGGACAAACTGACAGGAGAGGCCCTACAGCCTGCTAGCCAGCCAGTCTAGTCCAGTTATCAAACTCTGGGTTCGGTGAGAGACTTTGTTTCCCCCACCCCCAAAAAAGCAAGTGAAGATTTCATCAGTGTTGACCTCTGCCTCCCACACAGCTGCACACACACAGCACATGCGCAGACACACAACACACTTAAGCACACTCAAAAATCTTTTCACTCTCTGTGGTGGTTTGAATAGGTATGACCCCCATACTCATGGGTCTGAATGCTTGGCCCATGAGGCAGGGCACTATTAGGAAGTATGACCTAGGTGGACTAGGTGTGGCCTTGTTGGAGGAAGTGCGTCTCTGTGGGGGCGGGCTCTGAAGTCTCCTGTGTTCAAGCTCTGCCCAGCATGTCACAGTCTCCTTCTGCCGCCTGTGTAGATGAAGAACCGGCAGCTCCTCCTCCAGCACCATGTCTGCCTGCATGCTGCCATGCTTCCCGCCACGATGACGATGCACTAAACCTCTGAAACTTTAACTTTAACTCCAGCCCCGAAGAAATGTTTTCCTCTGTAAGAGTTGCCTTAGAGGGTGGGCATGGTGTTGTATAGCTTTAATCCCAGCAGAGGCCACCCTGCTCTACAAAGCAAGTCCAGGACAACCAGGGCTTGTTACACAGATAAACCCTGTCTTGAAAAACAAAAACAAAACAAGAGAGAGAGAAAGAGAGAGTTGCCTTGGTCATGGTGCCTCTTCACAGTAATAAAACCCTAACTAAGACTCTCTTTCCAATTTTGAGTCATCGGTTCTATAAAAGGTTGCATTAGGAGATAAAGATTTCTGTCAATGGCTCAGCATAGTCATTGGGTCTTGTTTCTCTTTTATATATGGCGAGACATGCCACAGCATGCATGTAGATATCAGAGATCAGTTCTCTCCTTCAATCACATGGGGCCCAGGGATCAAACCCAGGTCCTTAGGCTTTGGCAGCAAGTGTCCTCGTCAGCTGAGCCTCTTTCCAGCCCCAGAGGCAGCATCAGTCCTACACAGAATGTAGTAATGTGTTGTTTCCACAGTGGCGTTTGCTATGAAATCCCTTACAACCAAAAATCGCCTTCTAAATTCTGAGACCACCCCTGCAATATGCCTGGCTCTAGTCCCATTTATTCCAATTCTTACATTCAAACCTGGAACATATATCCAAGTGTGTACTGTGCGTAATACCATCGTTCTGACAACTTCTGTAAAGTGTGGCCTGCTAGCCCACGCACATCCTTCATCTCCAATACCAGTATTTTTTTCATCTTGTCTTTTGTTCAAGAGCTAGAGAAATATTATATTCTGACACTAGGTGGTGCTGTCTCACTCCAAATAGAACAAGCCCCGCCCGCCACTCCAGCTCCTGCTGCAGGGTTGTTTTAAATCAGGCTTTCTGAATCTCAGCAGTGCTGACCGTTGAAGGCTGGGTAATCATTTGTTTCAGGGGCTGTCCTGGGCGATATTTGTGTTATGTTTGGCAGCACTCCCCCAAACTGTGGTGACCCCAATCTTATATATAACTGGCAATTCGCTGAGAGGCAGAATTTCCCATTGTTGAGAACTATGCTATGGAAAAAAAAAAAAAAAAAAAATTCAGTGTCTGCTTCAACAGTTCTATTAGAATTCTACTGTTTTTTGTTGTTGTGGTGGTTTTTTGTTTTGTATGTTTCTTTTGTTTTTGAGACAGGGTTTCTCTGTGTAGCTCTAGCTGTCCTGGAACTTGCTCTGTAGACCAGGCTGTCCTCGAACTCAGAGACCTGTCTGTTTATGCCTCTGGAGTACTAGGATTAAAGGCATGCACCACCACCACCCAGCAAATTCTATTGTAATAAAGAATGTTTGGGTAAAAGATCTCGGTTCCTCTGGATGGGTTTGTTTTCAGCACAGCAGTAATCATATCCACCACCTTCCTTTTTTTTTTCTATTTATTTTTGGTGACAGAGTTGCTCTGTGTAGCCCTGGCTGTCCTGGACTCACTTTGTAGAGCAGGCTGGCCTTGAACTCACAGAGATGCTCCTGCCTCTGCCTCCCTGAGTGCTGGGGTTACAGGCGTGTACCACTGCGCCTGGCCATCATCTTCCATTTTGTAAGCAGTTGTTCAGCCTGGCCTAATGATGTGGAGTGATACACACAGTCCTCATTACGCAGCAAGAAACAGCCAAACCATTTATAAATCCATATAATTTGTGAGTCCTTTTTTGTCTTAAAAGATTTTTTTTTTTTAATGTGTGTATCTGTGTGCGTGCACATTTGTGTGTGCGTGCACATTTGTGTGTGCGTGCCTGGGGAGGTCAGAAGAGGGCATGGGATCACCTGCAGCTGAAGCCGCGGGCCATGCGTGGTAAGCTGCCTGATGTGGTCGCTGGGACCTGAAAGAACAGCAAGAGCTCTCAACCGCTGAGCTACCGCTCCAGCCCCTTGTTTTGTGTTTGGAGACAAAGTCTCACTCTGTAGAGTGGGCTGCCCTCTAGGACAACGCTTTCGCCTCAGCCCCACGAGGGCTAGGATGACAGCCATGAGCTGCCGTGCCTGGCTGGAGTCGGACTCTTCGCTCAGCCCTTCCTCTCCATCCCTCCGAGGTCTGCTTTGTGCACGGCTTTTTGTATGGTTCACAGATTTTCTGCTCTGGCCTGCCGCCCTCGCTGAGCCCTCTCAACTCAGCTTCCTACTTGTTGACAAGGACTGTGTTAGGCATTTCCTTTTGTGGCTTATCCAGAGATGGCATCAACAAATATTTACTGACTTAAAATTAATCTAAAATTTAATGTGTTTCTTTCTCCACATTCCCCTTCTTGGTTTTTGTTGTTGTTTGTTTGTTTGTTTTGTTTTGTTTTGTTTTGAGATAGGAAACTAGTCCTGGAACTTGCACTGTAGAACAGGCTGGCCTCGAACTCAGAAATCTGTCTGCCTCTCCCTCTTTAGCACTGGGATCAAAGGTGTGCACCTTTAACCATAGTGTGTTTCTGTGGGAAGTGAATCGCGCTCAAGCAGACATCCTTACAATTGGCTGCACATTAGAGCCTCCTAAAAAAGCTCTTTAAAAATCCCAGCACCTCTTCAGTCTTTAATCTCACCCTCTGGAAGCAGAGGCAGGTGGATCTCTGTCAGTTCAAGGTCAGCCTCCTCTACATACTGAGCTCTAGACAGCCAAGGCTACACAGTAAAACCTTGTCTTAAAAATATATTTCAAAAAATTGCCAACACTCAGTCCACACTTCAGATCAATTAAGTAACTAAGTGCCAGGGTTGTGATACAGGTGTCCTAGGTTTGGGTTTTGTTCTTTGTTGTTTTTAAACAGAATTCCAAACTTGATTTTACCAATAAGGACTCAGGAGCCAGATGCTGGGGTGAAAGCCTGCTAGCTCAGAGAAGCAAAGAAAACATTCAGCTGGCCTTCCTACTCATCTGACCTCCCTGAAGGAAAAACAAAACAAATTCTCTTTCTCCACACTTTCTTAAAAACCTTCAAACTGAATATCCCTTCTTTCTATTTCCTGTGTGTCTTTCTATCCAACCCCCAGACTTCTACTCTGTTTTTTTTTGTTTTTTTTTTTTTTTTTTTCTTATGTTAACTGGTTGCTTGCTCCACTTCTTGACCTATGGTTGACTTTAATCCTGTTTATAGAATGCTCTCAAATTAAAGGTGTGTGCTAGGGCTGAGCCACACCACAATGAGAAGCAGGTTTTTCTGGGAAACAATCTCTGGCTTCACCGTGTGAGCAAATATGCTGCACCAAGTTTTCATTTGCTTGATTGAGACGGAGTCTTGGGTAACCTCTGACGTCCTGATCTTCCTCCCTCTGCCTCTCACACGCTGCTCTACTGCTCTCCATTTGGCAGTTTTTAGGGTTTCTCAGGTGATTTCAATGAGCAGCTAAGAATGAGAAAACAATGCTTTCTTTTGTTCTGTTTTTACCATGCTCTGATCCCAAAACTTACCACAAGAAGTCCAAAGGGATACAGGTGCCTCACAGCTGGCGGGTTGGCATCCATGCAGAACGCACCCCTGATTACACATCGGGCATGTACCTGGAAAGCTGGAAAGGGGGTGCATCCATTTGTCTGTACTATGCATCCATGTTCCTGCCCCGACTTCCTTCGTCATGGCCTACCAGCTACCAGGAAATAAACCGTTTCCACTCCAAGTTGCTTTAGGTCGAGGTGTTTTTTAGAGCAATAGAAAGCAAAGTAGAGCCAGGCATGGTGACACACACCTTGAATCCCAGCGTTCAGGAGACAGAGGCAGGCAGGTCTGAGTTAGAGGCCAGCATGGTCTACAAAATGAGTCCAGGACAGCCAAGGCTACACAGAGAAACCCTGTCTCGAAAAACAAAACAGAAAGGAAGAAAGAAAAGAAGGAAGGAAGGAAGGAAGGAAGGAAGGAAGGAAGGAAGGAAGGAAGGAAGAGAAAACTAGAAACGAGGAAAACAAGCAGAATTTTTCTCACTATATGAGCTGGCTTACACCAACTTTTTCTAGTCATTACTCAGTGTTCACAGGTGTTCAGTGAGGCAAGCAGTGAGGAGAGGCAGGGCTCTGGGTGACACCCGTGATGGAGAATTGTTCCGCTAGGAGAAAGCTGGCTTTTGTAGGGACGGGTTCTTTGAACACTCCTCAAATGATTTACGTTTTTTTCTGCAAATGTGTACTTACCATGGGTTGTTTTAGCCTCAAAGAAGGATAGGGCATTAGGTCAGTGATGGAGCACCGAAAGTGATCAGGTCCACCAGGCCCTTCCTTCCCAAGACCAAACAAACAATGCAGTCTGCTGAGAGTCAACTCTCAGAGCAGACCAGCTGTCCGGGAGAGGTTTAGACCAACTGAGGCACCTGGACAGGACTCCCTCCAACCTGCTGAGCTGCCTCCAGGCTGTGCAGCGTGCTCCAGGTTCCCAGCTTCTGTGAATCGGCTGTCACTTATGCTGGGTGGGTCACTCATGCCTTGGTGTCACTTATGCCTTGTGAGTCACTTCTGCTCCTGTAAGTGACCTCTCACCCACGTTCCCATCAGTAACTTTGGTGATATCCGTCCTGAGTCTGTCGTGGGCTCCCTATCTGGGGTGAATAAATGTGTATGTTGCATCTCCCAGGAAATGCAATAAATAAGGCTGGCACCATAGTTCAGCGAGTAAAGGCTTTTGCCATCGAGACTGAAAGACCCGAGTTTGATCCCTGAGACTCACAGGGGAGGAAGCAAAGAACCAGTTGCTGCAAGCTGTCACGTGCATGCACACTCACATAGTAAATGTCTTTTGTTTATTTTTAGTTTAAAAATGAAGTAACAACAAACCACGGAATACACTGACTTGCACACTTATCACCTAATACTAGATTTTCAAGAGAATCCAGAACAGCCCATCAAATCCACGACTGAATTCTAATGTCTCTGTCTCTCCAGACTGAGTCAGAGTCAAGCAGTGGGAGCCAGGGAAAACGATGAAAGAGATGAGATGAGAAGTTCTCTTCATCCTTGTTTTGTGTCTATGATACGTCAGCGCTAAAGCCTCTGCATCTGCCGGGCTCCATTCTGCATTTCTCTCCCCACGTCCCTGCACCCAGGGCTCTGTGAGCGCTCACTGCTGTCGCTGGTCTCATTCTGCCCCTTCCCAAAACCTGTCCCCCTGCTTCATGCTCACAACAATCAAAGGCCAGCTCCAGGAGTCCTGGCCCGGTATTCCAGTGAAGCCCTCCAGTGACCACTACAGAATGAACAGTTGTGAGGCTTCCTTAAAGTTACTTTTAAAAATCACTTATCGGAGAGGGGTGCGTGTGCCAGCGCTTAAATATGGAGGTCAGAGGCTGGAGATGAATTTGCAGGAATCAGTTCCCTCCTACCACAGGGTTCCCAGGGACTGAACTCAGGTCATTAGGACTGATCAGCCTTTACCCCCTGGCTGGTGCTTCTCAACCTCCCTGAGGCTGTGACCCTTTAACACAGTTCTTCATGTTGTGGTGACCCCCCCCCCCAACCGTAAAATTCTTTTCCTTACTTCAAAACTGTAACTTCGCTACTGTTATGGATCGTGATGTGAATACCTGTGTTTTCTGACTCAGGCACTCATTACAAAAGACGGTTGTGAAAGGGCCATTCCACCCCCAAAGGGGTCACAACCCACAGGCTGAGAGCTGCTGGTGAGCCATGTCACCAGGCCTGCCTGAAAGTCCTCTAAGGTGTCAGTGGGCTGCATTTTAAAAAAAATCAATTACTTTCTAACGCCATTGTCTCTAATCAGTAGGTGACTGTAGAGATCTGTGTACTTGCCACTTGTGAAAGGCCAGAGACGGTCACTGGGCATCCTCCCAGCTGCCCTCCACCTTATCTTCTGACTCAGGGTCTTTCACTAAACCAGGAGTACACCGACTTGGCTAGACTCGTTGTCTAGCAAGCCCCCTGGCTCCCTCCTAGTGTGAGGATGTGCCTCTGTGTTGGGAGTACTTTTTAAAAACTCTTTTATTTACATTTTTAATATCTCTTTCTCTCTCCTCCACCTCAATCCCTTCCAACACCCCAGCACCAGGTAGGAGAGAAAAAGAGTTAGTGGGAGAAGGGGTGCAGTTCTCTTAGCTGCTTCCTGCTGGTCAGTGGTGTCCGGTTCCATGGAGCCAGTCTAATCCCCTTGTTTCAGGAGATCTCCAACTTCTTGTGTCACTGCATCAACAGCAACAGGAGAAGCAAGGGGGGAGCGACTGAGCTGAAAGGTGATGAGCCTTGCCAGTGCGGTGACCAGTCACTGGGCTCCAGCGCAATTTATGGAAGCCCTTCCCACCACAGGTTGCCTTTTCTTGTTTGAATCGGATCGGTGTTTCAGAGAGTTAATGACCGAAGCATCCTACAAACTTGACAATTCAGTGCTCATCAGTATGCTTAAAAAGTTGCTAATATCATGGTTTCTTTTAAAAATCTGTACAGTGCAAAAAAAAAATTGCATATTAGTTAAAAATATGTTCACCTCTGATTTCTGCCTAATTATATTAGTTAGCATGCTTGACGTTAGGGAACTGCAAACACACTGCCTTTTGTTAATATGGAAGTAAGAGCTGCTTCAGACGCTCAAGAGCAACAGCCCCAAAACTGCAACAAACAGACGAAGAGCGCAGGCTTCAAATCTCCGAGGACTGTGCCGTAAATGCTGAGGGTGGGCATACAGGAATGGCTGTATGCCCTTAAACAGTGGTTTGCTAAAAGAGTGCCAACACAGCAGTGAAGGGAGAAATTAAAATGGCAGAGGGTCATCTGACAATAAATAATTTAAAGCTGAGATACATATATGTTTTATTTTTGAGACAGTGTTGCTCTGTAGCCCAGTCTGACTCAGTTCTCACTAAATAGTACCAGCTAGCCTCAAACTCTGAATCGTTACGCCTCAGCCTAGCCTTCCAAGTGCTGGGATTATAGGCTACCATGCTGGGCTCTGTGTGTGTGTGTGTGTGTGTGTGTGTGTGTGTGTGTGTGTGTGTGTGCTGTGCACACACACGCATGGGTTACTTTTGAGAGAGGGTTTAGCAGAGGATGACCTTGAACATATTTTCCTGTCTCCACTTCCCAAGTGGTAGGATTACAAGAATGTGCCACCAGGCCCCACTTCTGCAGGTTTTTTGTTTGTTTGGGGGTTTTTGTTTTGCATTTATTATTATTCTCAGTGTGTGGTGTGGGAGAGGGACATGGAAAACACCTTGGCACAATTCAGAAGGCATTTCATTCTCTCTTTAAGCGGCCCTAGCTCAGGTCACCAGACTTAAGCAGCAAGCACTCCACCCCGGAACCATTAGCCTTGGCTACCCTGGACTTGAATTGTAGACCAGACTGGCCTGGAACTTACAGCGATCTGCCTGTCTCTGTGCCACTACGCCCGGCTGCAATTACAACATTGGTAAGATGAGGTTTGCACCTTACCCTCTTTCATTTAGTTTTTATAAAGGTTAGCATTACATTTCCTCAGGACTGGGGAGAGGGCTTAGCAGGTAAGAGCCCTGGCTGCTCTCCCAGGAGACCCAGGTTCAAGTCCCGGCACCCACAGGGCAGCTCAACTGTCTGTAACTCCAGTTCCAGAGGATCTGACTCCCTCACACAGACGTGGTGAGGGCCAAATACTAAATGCACATTTAAAAACAAAACAAAAAAAAGCCCTGGCCTACTTTCTCCCTTCATTTCCAATATAAAGATCTACATTAAAGGAAGCCTTATTTCTATGGATTATTAATTAAATATAGGGGGATTTTAGTAATTTGCATGAATTTCACACAAATCCTCTCACTTTTCTATAGCTATGGGTCTCTCTCTCTAACTTTCCTGGGACACGAGCAAGGATAAGCAAGTATTATTTATGGGGGGGGGAGGGTTGCTTAGAGACGCCACCGCCACCGGCGGCTGTTTGCACCGCCCAGCACCGCTCAGGAGCTCTGTCGTTGTCCATGGCTCTCTGACCTTTACTATGGGAGGGTTCAGGGGCCCGCAGCCCCGCCAGCCTTCCACCTATGCAACCCTTCCGGCTGCGCAGGCTAGGGGACGCCGGACGGAGCTCCCTAAGCCTTTGTAAAAACAGGGGCTTTTAATATCGACTCTTTGCTGAGGAAAGGCAGCCCATATGCTGTGCTGCCGTGTATAAAATCAACAGATTTATTTTTAAAAGAAAGAAAAGTACTTTCAAATGTGAGCAGCAGAAAAAGCTGCCGGAGGTGACCTGCAGGTCTTCAAAAGCAATGACGTGAAAAGAATCCCAACGACGATTGAGACATGAGTACTGACTTCACGGGGGCAGAGGTCACCGTCAGGTCACCGTCAGGGGTCCTCTCATCACCTGTTTGTTTGTTTGTTTGTTTGTTTTTCTGGGTTTTTTTCTGTTTTTGGTTGTTGGGTTTGTTTTGTTTTGTTTTATAGCATTTTCTAAGAGTCGTGGAGTCCAGAGCATTTTGCGCAGTAACCTGCAGTGAAAAATCAAAGTCCTGAACCATCATTGTTGTCTTACTAATGAGCAGCAGATGAAAGGGAGATCCACCAACCGTCTTCCAGTGAGGCCCACAAGAACCAGACCTTCTCTCTCTCTCTTTCTTTTTTTCTTTCTTTCTTTCTTTTTTTTTTTTTTTTTTTTTTTTTTGAGATAGACATATTCCCTCATTACAAACCAGCATTGTTTTTTTGCTTAAGACAGTGTCTCGTGTAGCCCACGTCGGGAACTTCTCTGCCCCTGCTGCCCCCACCACTGCTGGGTTTGTGAAGCACTTCATACTGAACTGAGACCGGAACTCAGGTCCAGGCTAGGCGAGCCCTCCACCACCTGAGCCATGTCCCCAGCCCACACTAAGCCAAGACAATCATTTTGATGGAGACGCCCTATAGATTTATCTGATACACAGGCTGTATTGGTAGATTTGGGGGCTTTTGTCGGCTTGTGACAAACTTGGAATGCACAGACAGCTCCAGCACCCCGCCTTTCCCACCTCTGAACAGGTGAGCCCCCCCACACACACACACTGCTGTTGCCCACAGCCACTCGAGATGGTGTGGTCTGCCCATGGTTAACCAAACTCAGTAAAGCGGTTCAAATCCACATGTACCGCTGGCTCTCTTTTGAGTGGCCACGATGGCAAGGTGCTCAAACTGTACCGATTATAAGGCAAGCCCTTCAACAAGCAACGTAACTTTTCTGTTGCTATAGAAACAGGAATATTCTTCAATGTATGTGGATGTGTATGGTTGTTCCTGCACATATGTTGAAATGAATTTATCAGAGTAAAGAAAATTCATTGTAACCGTCTTAGCAAGGAAACTAGAATGTTGAATAGTAGATGGCTTTAGTACACGAAAGCTACATGTTATTTTAATTTTTATTATTATCGCCCATGCTGGCTTCCGAGAGAGCTGGGATTGTAAGGTGAGCGACCACACCGGGTTTGGCAGGATAAAACACTCCCCGTCTATACCCAGGAAGCACTCAGAACCTCCCCTCACCCCCGACAGATCTTGAGTGTCTCCAGAAAACGGTACACTATATAAATCCAAACACACACAGGTTGTATTTTTACAAAATCTATATTTTAATGTGTACACAGTTAAAAAAATACAGAGCGCCCATGCCCAAGTACTCTACAAACCCCTCCCCACCAGGAAAAAAAAAGTCTGGCTCTACCTGATGCATGCACACACACGATATACGGGGCATAAATGCATTCCCACCACACAGGAGCTGCTTAGGACAGAAGCGGGTCACATAATACAACGCCTCCCAGTCAGAACGAGCTTGCAAAGACAGAAGGCAGCTATCTGTAGGGTGACTCCGTGCCAGTCTTAGCCAAGCCTTCCTTCCTTCTTTTATGTGTTTTCTGAGACAGGGTCTCGTAGGTATTCCTCCACCTCCCAAAGGACGCTAGGGTTACAGCTGTACCTCGCCGTGTTCTGTCTACGCCGCAGCTGGAGCTCGGGCCACGGCTTCGTGCGTGCGAGGCAAGCATTCTACCAACCCAGCTGGACCCCAGGCCCACGTCTGAAGCTAACGGGGACAGAGCATTCTTTTCACAGCGGTCCAAAGTCATTCACAATGTCCGGTCCTGAAACCTACAAAACACAAGCCGGGGGAGGAGGGAGGGCAAGACATTCTCTCATCCTCGGGTCTGAAAGGGGAAGGAAATTAACCTCAAAGGTGACTGATCGTTCTCCACCCAAGTGGCCCTGCGGCTTAGCTGGCCATGGGGAAGGGCTCGGGCTGGAAGCCGAAGAGCCTCTGCCCGTAGGGCTCCGACTCCGCCGGGAGCCTAGCCCCGGGGAAGGGCAGGTAGGGGTGGTCGCGGCCCAGCTGCTCGCAGCGCAGCCCCACCCAGTCCCGCTCCGCCTCGGCCAGGATGCGCGTGAGCGCCACGATGTAGCTGAGCGCCATCTGCAGCGTCTCGTACTTGGACAGCTTCTTGTCCTGGCCCCACTGCGGCACCACCCTGCGCAGCCGGTCGAACGCCGTGTTCAGCCCCTGCATGCGGCGCCGCTCGCGCGCGTTGGCCGCCAGGCGCCTGCGCGCCGCGCTCTCCAGC